TGACCTTTGAGAATATAATATGCTTTCTGCTAATCTAACCCAAACCTTAATGCAAATTTGCTGACTTCAGTGGAACAGTCACTATTCTGCAAGTAAGAGAGATCAAAATCAGATTCTTTATTGAAAAAATGCACTAAGTAAGCATTTGTATTACACTTGTATGTTGATATTTATACAAATATTAAAAAGTCAGGTCTGTTCCCTCACAGAATGTTCTAGAATCTCCCAAGATTGTACATCCTGAATTTACTAGAACACAGTTTGCTGTTCAGTGTGCTGGGAAGGTATAAATATATCTAAAGAAATGACACTTCCATTCTTATAAAGGTAGAAAAACTAAGCTACAATGACAGAAACTCAGCTGTACTGAAGGATTTAAACTAGTATTTGAAATCTTTTAAAGATAATTTGTAATTAAATTTACCATAGGAGTGCATATAAACTTAGGTATTACTAAGGTATTACTACCATGGGTTTTATTACTAAAGGGAGTGGAACTTTTCATGAAAATATTTAAGGATTTAATCTCGGATTTTTGATTGATTGCTTCTTTATGTCTGAAAGAGCAAAGCTAAATGATGTGACATAATTGATATAGGCATGACTTTTTAAGAAGCATGACAATGACATTTATTCTTTTGCTTTCAAAGCCCGTTGTTTCATGTTTAATTCCACCCACTAACAGAAATTAATACTAGTCTCAAGTTGGAGGATAAAAAGTGAAGTGCAGCAGGAACAGGGCTGGTGAAGAAAAGGTCAGCTCTGTCAGATGAAATCTTATGTAATACTGCACCTAATACAGCTAGGGATACCAAACTCACCTCTATTTTATTTCTTTTTGCATTTATAGTTGTTTTTTTTTTTTTTTTTTTTTTTTTTTCTTCTTGAGGAAAAGTGGGAACTGCATTATTTAGACTAAAATACCAGAGAAGAAAGCCATACTGAGGAAGAGGAGAGGCTTTGATTCAGCTTTTGTGTCTGGTGGGAACATTTTCTCAAAATATAGGTGCTATTTCCTGTAATCAAGGGCTTTCCAGAGTTTGATAATCATTTCCCAGCTGTATCATTTTGGTGAATTATTTTTTAGCCTTGGGTTATTTCATGACTGGTTTTGCATATTAAGAATAGGAGAGGATCATATTCATCTTGATGATAGAAAGCAGGGAATAGAACTCCCACAGCTCTTTCTCCCCTTCCCTCTACCTTGTGGAAAGTTTGGCTTTGAGCTAAAGCGTGAAAAAAGCCTTGACTGCAGTATGTCAGGCGTATTTCAGCTCGATTTGTGTCAACCCTAATAAGTCAGCTGACAAGGTAATAAATTGGGTGTCTGTTCAAGACCTGGCACCTGTACAGGAAATAAAAAGGGATTTCAGTTGCAGGAAGGTTTGCTTTGTTTTGCAAATGGACATTTTCTCAAGGCTTCTCTACCTCCTTCCCCCTTCTTCTCTTTACTGAATTCTTGTTATCAAAATGTTTATTTCAATTGTGACTGGAGCTAGTTTTTCATCCTGAAAAGAAAGCTTTCTGAGTGTCATTGGAAATGGAAATCCTTATACTTTCAACTCTGAAACAAAGGCTTACAGAGCATTTAATTATTCATGTATCCTTCTGTTACGTATATGGCCTGAATAATTTCCAATTACAGAATAGAAACGGCCTTTGTTCAACATTTTGAATCTTTACATTGATGTAGTATGCATCAGGCTGGGAAAAATGACTTTGTTTAACCCAGGGAAACAATGTATATGTAATATCTCACTATTTTTAATGATAATATAACCTTGTGACCGGGGTGTCTCAACGTATTTCCTCCTGTGTCTGACCTCCAAGGATGCAAGTCTGTTACAGCTCCTGAGAGCTGACCTTTTGTAGGTCCAGCTGTAGAGTTGTGTTTTTAGCTCAGGGGACCCAGGATGAGTCCCAGTGTGATGCGAGGGGGTGTCTGCAGCAGTGACGAGCCTGAGTTGTTTCCCTGGGGTCTTCACTTTCAACACACACCTCTTCCTCCATGATCAGAGGAGAGACAACACCTATTGTTCCCTGATCCTTTTCACTTTTGGGGACTGTCCTGGGGACCATGGAAGAGTTCCCCTGCAAATTAATTTCAGGTTCTAAGGTTGATCTGTGAGGTGGAGGAAGCAAAACAGGATCTGGCATTCTTTGCAAGGGGTCAACTGTGTGTTCATCTAGTTGAGTTTTCTTCACCTTTTCCATCTTTCATTATTCCATTGGGATCTACTGTAAGTAGATCTTCATGTCCACATGGAGAGTTCATCTCCCAGAATTTCCTTCTTGGACTTTTTTAATTAGAGGAAGTGATAATCTGACCCAGTGGAAGGAGAAGGGGGAAATGGTTTATTTTAAATAGTATATGATATATAAATATATATCATATATAAATAATAAATCACCTTTAAGTAAAACATGTATGATTTTTAGACACAGCGAGATGAAAAGCCTCTCTCAGTCAAAACAGTTGCAAAAGTGCATTCTTTGCACATAGTAAGATTATTTTTTTCAGCAGAAATATTCAAAATCCAAGATAAATCTATGTAATGTGTATAATAAGGCTTTCTATGCGGTATATGTGTTCTAGGATTCATTACTCCTTATGCAGAAGATTGGGCTAGATGACAAAAGTCCTACCTATCTGCTTCTGTCATATTTATGGTTAAAAACTTACTTTTAAATGAGGAAAAAGTTTTCATAAGTTCTCTTCAGTGTTTTCAAGAAGTGAAAATGTAGCTTGAGGGAGAAAAAAGGGGCAATATAAACCTTTAAAACTCCAAGTGAACTTTCAGAATCTAATTGAATGCAAGCTCTGGACTTTCCTATCTATCACACTGTAAATTTTTTTAAAATACTTACCTAAGCAACTCTTCTTTCTGCAGCATTGCATAGTGATATGATGGATTACTCCAAATTAATTAGAGTAATCAGCTAACGTTATGTTCTGTAGAATTGTGATTCAAGCATGAAGGAAAAAATAAGCAAATTCTGACTTCTACAGCAAATTGTACATATAAAAATGTGTTGTGAGGTTAGCTCAAGTTTTACACCTTGGCCTTAGCTTGTGGAAAAAAAAAGAGAAGACTCTAGGGTGAAATACAAAAAGCTGATCAAAAATGGAGGAAATGTACCCGTTCACATATCTTTGGATGTACTGCAAAGGCATTATATGTTAATAAAAGCAAAAGAATAAAGTAAGAAAACAGTACCTAATAATAACTGATACTATATGTTGCAAAAGGTGTTTTAAATTTCCTGGTCATTGAAAAGATGTCAAGAAATGCCCATTTCTTTGTGTTTGAATAATATCAGCTCCCTTCTGACCTGTTGTGAAAGTGCTTGAGAATTTATACCAAACTTTACAGATGCCTCATGAGGTGAATTGCAAAAATCTGGTTGGACACATATAATCTTCTTTAAAAATATTTACAGAAAACAGCTCTTATGAAAATTAAACATGTTCCAGGTGTGTATGGCCCAACTTACGGGCATAGCTCAGTTGTTTTTGAAGTGGCAGATACACCTGCCTTTGCAACTCAAGAGAAATTCTTCATCTGCCAGCTACCAAAATGAAACTGTGTTGGTTTTGTTGTGTTTTGTTTTTGTTGTCTGAGATAAACTGAGATGTTTGTAGTACATGTAGGAATGAGCTAGTTGCAGGTACGATGTGGTAGCTGTCTGTGAGGAAAACATTAGTTCTCGTCTTCCCAAGCAACAACTCCTTGTAAGGCTTCAGCTTCTTAAGATAATATGGTGGGTGTGGTAATATTTTGCTTGTTGCCTAGTATTGGGAACTTGGAATTTTCAAATGACTTTGTTCCCCATTAATAGATAAACTATCATCACAGTCTCAAAATGTTTCCTTCTAATATCATTCAAAATACCATTACGGGAAAAAGTGCTAATGCTGGGATCATAAAAGTACTGAATGGATGTTTCTGCAAAAATATGGAGGTGAGGTGACCAAAAAGTGAAGTGAGAGCATGGGGGATGGTTCATAAGCTGAAGCAGTGACATTTTCTGAGGTTCCTTCATGTTTCAGTGCAGCTACCCAAAAAAAGACAGTGCATGGCCAGACTATTTTCAGGGACATACAACACAATTCTCACAATTCTGCGTTACTAGTAAGTGTATCTGAATTTTTTCATGTGCGTGAAACAAGTTTTTGCAGGAGACGGAGTATAATATGTCCTCCTTTAGTCTTGCAGGTTCAAGTATTTTGGGGGCTGTGCAGTAAACTAAATCACTGAAATCATCTGTATCAAAAATAATCAAGCTGAAAAAGGTGACAGGGGGGAAGGGCGTGGTGGTGAAACAAGAATTGGGAAGAAGCGTCACTGAATTAGAAATGAGCAGACATGGACAGACACATGGCATCCTGAATATGGGCTCCCATGCCTTCGTTGTGACAGTCCTGGTATTAAATCCCACTGGATGCTGAACTCAGCTGACTAACCAGAGAAGAAACTATCCCTAAGAAACTGGAGAGGAGGAAGTCTCTCCCTTCAAGTGACACTGAGCTTAAACTGTAGCAAATAACTTCTCGGTACTCATCCTCAGTCCCATATCAAACTTCATCATATTTACAATTTTATTTAAAAAGTATTTTACCTTACTTATTTTACACTACATTACGGTTAGTTTTTGAGAATGATCGCCACTACACTTCACTTCTAACTTGCAAGTTAGTAAGGATGGGTTTTCTCCAGACCTGTGAAAACAGGAACACTGCACAGCACAGACTGCGTAAGGGTTTCAGCATACGTAATGCAAAAATGCAGGTGGTGAGTGGCTGATCTTAAAATCTTCACTGACCTGAAGCAATGGTACTGATGAAGTTAACAGTGAAGTTAACTTGACAAAATATTGTGGAACTTGGGCAGTGTTTATATGCTTTACAAAAAGACTCCCAATAGTAAATATACAGTAAAACAGTTCTGTAATTGCAGTTGACAAAATTATTGATAACACTCTTTGTCTCTCTATTTCAGTGTTTTATTCAGAAGTGTCGACTTAATTAGTTATATTTATGTATGGAATAACTACCGACTCTTTGAACTGCCCTGGGACTCGCCATGGACATGGTATTTGACATTCCTGGGAGTGGACTTCGCATACTACTGGTTTCACCGCATAAGTCATGGTAAGAGTTAGAGTTTTTCCTGTATTAAAATACAAATGGTGTTAATTATTATTATTTATTATAATAATTATAATTGTTATTTATTTATGAATAAAGTGAGGTATTTATTTTCATTTCTATACTTAATCAACTTTAGGTGCTCTCTTTCCAAAGTTTAGCAGAGATTTACTTGTACTTTGAATATGGAAAACAGTCTGTACATCACACTTTTATGCAATAGATACAGTTTTGTGAAAAATAAAAAAATAATAATAATAAAAAGGAGTATCTCTTGGCTAGTAGCAACACAAAAGAAAAACAAGATGTATCACAGAAAAAATTATAAATAAATGAAATTTATGATAAATAAATAAAATTTGTATGGCATAGTATCCTTTTGTGCCTGTATGGAAAATACGGCTTCATACAAAATGGAGGGGAATCAAAAGCAAGGTAGCCAAAATAATGACAGGACATCTGGCTAACTTCCTCTGCTTCTCTGTATATATATTTAACATTCAATTATTGTTTAACTGACAAATGAATGAAAGTGGTTCTGCACTTTATATATATAGATATAAATATACATACATTTTATACACACACATATATATATGCACATATATTTATAAAGTATTTTAGCAATTTTGTCTGCAATTAATACTTGACTTAAAGGTGATCAGTCTTTTTTTTTTTTTTTAAAAGAAGTACCTTACTTGCTCTTATATATGAAAATATAGATTTTAGAAAGGATTCAACTGTTACTTATTGTAAATGGTTGTAAATTGTAAATGTAAATCATGCCAGTTACTTCTGTTCATGTGTATTCTGAAGATGTAATAATATTGATCTGTCTGTTTATCCATTATATATTCCTCTTACTGAAAACACATTTTTGCTATAGCCATTTGTATTCTGTGCACAGATGAAATAATGCTTTGTATCACTCCTAATTTTGGATCTGATCTAAAGTCTGTAGCAATGAAATAAGTATCTCTTTATTGTTTAAGAGACTTTGGAAGGGGCTTCTCAAGGCAGCGTGCCCACAGCACACAGAAGCTGTAAAATCTAGTAATGAAAGTTTATGTAACGCAATTTCGAAAAGGGAAAACATTTTGATGCCAGTAGGTCAGTGGTAAATGTGGAAGTGGGTGAGAAATGAGTGTGAGATTCTGGGGGGAGTGGGAGGTAGGAAGGGTCCCTTCCGGGTGGGGAGAACAATACAGGGTGGGTGCAGGGGGACAACAATGGTGTGAGGGGACGGGTCTCACAAGGGGACATGGTGGGAGGTGAGGAAGTTGGGGGGAGCTGGAACAATGTGCCGGGGGGACATCACAGCCGGGAGCTGGGAGCCCTGCGTGGGCGTGCGCGAGACTGGGAATATGCTTCAAGAACAATGACATTAACAGTGCTGGCAAGGCTGCAACTTTGGGCTGAGAACTGGACCAAGGTGGGAGGATATTCCTGTATTTTTAAGTTAAAAAAAAAATTACCTGAGAGTGTTAGAAAATCAGTAGCCTGGCTCTACTTTCACCAGATTCAGTGGTAAAATTCCCACTGCAAGAGAAAGGAGCAGGATCAGCAATTCTGAATTCACTCTCATCTGCTTTTCTATATTTTGAGAGGAACATTGGGACTGTGCACTTTGAAATGAATCACTCTGGCCATTTTAGAATTAAAATCCAAAACAAGTCTCTCAGTATGTAGTGAAGTTGTGGAAACCACAAAACAAAATGTTGTCCATGTCTTAAGAAGGTCAGCACTGAACTGTTCTGTAAATGTTAATTTAGTCTTCCGGAGGTTGCAGAAATGTTTCTTGCTGTCAGGTCTGTGCTGCTCAGCAGGGAACTGATGCAACGTTATAGAATAGCACTTAAAATGAAGGTTTTAGCTTAACTGACAGCCTTATTTCTGATCAAGCAATGAAATCTGTAACAGGGTAACACAGCTGCAAAAGTCGACTGCTTCAGAAGTTGGAAAGGAGAATTTGAATGTAGGAGATGCTTTTAAAATGCAAAGTGTAGTTTACTGGAAAATACCTCTGTGATTTGAGAAGTGGAGGCACTGGAACAATCTCTACTACAACTGGACAAACGAGAAAATAACAGGGCCTGGTGATTCAGGCTTGGATCCCAGAGCTAAGTTAAAAATTAATAGCATATGTATATCCCAGGAAATTCAAGCTGTGTGGACTTATGTGTGGGGATGTAAATAATAACACTAATTGTTTCAAACTGAAGAACTTAAATTCAGATGCATTTTCAGGCTGTTTATTTAGTACTCAAAATAATTTTGTTACAAAGCATCATCATCATATAGCTTTTCCTATCTCTAAGCAATTATTGGATAACACAAACTCCTGTCTACTTACTATCTTATTTTTATGTTGTCCATCCAACAATTGGATTGTTTGTTCTGCTATTTAAAAGAATAGTCTGAAAGTATAAACTTCTTTCTGTAGTACTTTCTACTGTAGTAGAAACCCTAATATACAGATTCAAGCTTTTACCCTGTGCTTGGGAATCTATCTTTTCCTCTTCGCTTATATGTGTGTAATAGCTATTATCATAAACTGAAGTTATACAGCAACAAGAGGAAGTATTTTCAGGTGTGATCTCATTTTTTTAAAGGATAGAGTTATTCTAAGTATGTGCTTGTATTTTCCATTGTTTGCAGTAGCCACTAAAAAGTTAGAAAATAAAATGTTTCACCACTTATTCCAGAATTCTTCTGGGCCTGATCCAAAAGCCATGGCAGTCAATGGGAATGCTTAGTTAGACACTGCTTTTTTTTCTTGGTGTTTTAATGAATTTATATATCACCATAACTTTTCCTTTTGTTTCAATAAAAAAACACTGCTTATGGTGATACTACTGAAGAAAGTAAGCTGTAAAATAACAGGTCTTCTCTTCTTTTCTTTTCTTTTCTTTTCTTTTCTTTTCTTTTCTTTCTTTTCTTTTCTTTTCTTTTCTTTTCTTTTCTTTTCTTTTCTTTTCTTTTCTTTTCTTTTCTTTTCTTTTCTTTTCTTTTCTTTTCTTTTCTTTTCTTTTCTTTTCTTTTCTTTTCTTTTCTTTTCTTTTCTTTTCTCCTCTTCTCTTCTCGGGGGGGGGGGGGGGGGGAGGAGGGGGGCGAAGAGGATATGCGTGGGTTTAGGGAATTTTTAACAGATATTTTAATCTAGCATATATGGATCACTCCTCAAGCTTCCTCTCCAGGTGCAGAGTCCTTGCAGAGTTATTCCTGCTAAAAAGCAGGATTCTCTGGTCCCAGGGCAGTGCAGAGCCCTGGCCGTGGTGGAGCACACCCCTTCCCGAGCTCTGGCTTTGCCGGTACTCCTGTTGCAGACATATGACAGCGGCAGTAAGGAATTTAGAGGCTCTGTAAACTAATTTCTTCAGCAGCCACACCTTTTAATCAGGGAAGGAAATCTAGAGACTTCCAGATCCATGCAAAAAACAAGGGAGCTGTCACTAATGGATACGCTGGTGCTGAGCAGTGGATTTTGTGGTCAGTTTGGGGACCCTTCTCTCTGTTTTCAGGCCCTGGGAGAAGTTCTCTGGGTTTGGCAGGCAGCAGGTTCAGAGAGCCTGTCTCTTTTTAACAGCAGATTCCAACACCTCTTCTTTTGTTCTCCTTTACTGCTGGGGAATTTCCATTGCTTAAGTGTCCCTCCCCTCAGACAACCTGGGAGAAGTGAGTTTCCTTCAGCTGGGCCAACCTCAGTAGCAGCTGCATTGTTCTGCCAGGCCCGAGGCGGCCCGTGTCAGCCGTGCGCGCCCATTGTCCGCTGGCGGCTTCCAGCCGCTGTGAGGGATACGTGACAGGGTCCCTGTCAGCAACAGGCTGAGCCAATATCAGTTGATGCTTTGAGTTATGTGCAGAGCGTGTAAAATAGACCTCGGCTGATAAGTATATCCTAGCTGGATTCCCCAGCTGCTATATACAGTTTTGAGTTAACGGCCTGTCTCTTAATATTTCTCTGTTTATTTATGGTGGGTGAGAAATAAATTGGGCATATTCTGGCGAAACAGTCTTTGAGCTCTTCAGATTCCTCCAACCCACAGGACTGACCAATTGGCCAGCACTAGGTTCTGAAGACACAGGAGAAACTCTAAACTCTCATTTTGATTTTGCCCCTCAAAAGGCTGTGCCTGGGATCTGTAGCAAAATGTCTCAACTGAGGATGCTGAGGAGGATTTCTTTTTAAGATTTCCAAGAATTGGAAGCTTTAACTTTCAAAAATTCAGCAAGGCAAGAGATGAGAATGTGGATTTCTCTTAGCTTTATTTACACATGACTTACATAGCTTCTACCTCTCCCAGTAAACATCTTTACTTAGAGCCTCGTAGAGAATTTTTTTTTCAGCAGCAGAACTGCCTGCAGAAGTTTCTGGCTATTCTTCCCTACACTACCCAGCCAGTTCTGAAAAACTTTCTGTGAGGTGACTATATATGTAAAATCACTGAAAAAATAGTTCATTAAAAAAAAAAAAAAAGGGGGTGGGGGAGGAGGTGGGATATATTGGGTTTCTCTTTTAAACAATGAGAAGCAACAACTTGGTTCAGTCATCATGGGGTCAACTTAGCTATGGGGCAGGAACTGCCCAGTGGTCAAGGACAGAGACAGCATAAACCAGATTTGCTGGTGCAGACTCTGTGGGATAACTGGAGACTTTGGGAAGAGCAGAGAAGTATTTTCTGTGTCAGTAGTGCAGAGACAGGTACCTCATCTCATCAGGAACCAGAGTGATCCATTTGTGGATAAATAAGAGCAGGCAACGTTCATGATTCATGCTGTCGAAATAATGGGAAGAGGTGAGAATAGAACCCAGTCCTATTCTTTCAGTTAGTTATACACATAGCCTTCAGAAATAATACTAATATGTTAGCACATTGGACACTAGTGCAATGGTATGTTTGCTATTAAGTGAGAAGATGAGTTTGAACTTTCAAGCTTGTTAAAGGAAAAGACAGCAGGGCTTAAAATCTTTTCAGCATTTACATTTACCACTCATTTTTGGA